AGCAGGAAAGATGTGCTTCAAGGTTATACCCTTTCACCATTCTTACTCAGGCTACTTGAGCAGGGCTACAGAGTTCTTGAGGAAGAACACTGCACCGGGATTACAGAAAAGCTCATTAACAGCTCATGGAATACAGATGACACAATCCTGATTGCCAAAAGTGAAAGGACTCGATACAATTACTGATGAAGATCAAAGACTACCACCTTCAGTATGGAGTACACCTCAACATAAAAAATAATCTGCACAACTGGACCAATTAGCAACATCATGGTAAAGAGAGAAAAGATTGAAGTTGTCAAGGATTTTGTTTTCTTTGTATCCACAGTCCACACCCTTAGACCAGCAGTCAAGAAATCAAACAACATATTGCAATGGGAAAATATGCTACAGAAGACCTCGTTAAGATGTAAAGGAAACACAAAGATGTCATTCTGAGGACTGAGGTGCACCTGGCTCAAGCCATGGTACTTGCAATCACTTCATATGGATTCCAAAACTAGACGATGGGTGAGGAGGGAGAATCGATGTATTTGAGTGGTGGTGTTGGCAAAGAACACTGCCTACACCGGGGATGGCTGGAAGACCAAAGAAACCTGTTTGGGGGGAATATAGCCAAAATGCTTCTGAGAAGGGAGTGTGGCGACAGTCTTACTGTGCATATTCTCATGAGGGTCTAGTGCCTGCAGGAGGGCATGCTACTTGGCAGAGGGGCAGTGAAAAGGAGCAAGACCCTCGAGAGATGGACTGGCACCGGGGCTACAACCATGGATGCAAACATGACAATGATTATGAGCCCGGCCCAGGGCCAGGCAGAGTCTTGACTTGAGGCCCCCTAACCAGAGAAGCAGTTATAGACCTGGCATTTCCCGAGACCAGGGGTGGGCAAGCGGCAGCCCGCAAGCCATAGGCAGCTCTTTCAGGGTGCCCATGTGGCTCTGATGTAAAATGAAGAATGAAAATAAAAGCATCAGAGCTTCATTGAAAGGATATTATTCAGATCATGGTGATTTCACTTGTTTGTAAAAAAATTATTTATGGTTCTCGAATCGTTTTTAAGGCTGTGAGGGACGGGACTGCCTCCTCCATCTCAGAAGTTTGCCAGCCCCGGCCCTAGACTGTGGGCTCCTTGAAGACTGGAGTCACAGGGGTCCTAAGTCTTTTTATAGCACTTGGTGGTTGGAAAGAGAGGGAACATCCTACCATTCCCTACATCAAAGAGCCATTAGAAGGAAGGTGAAAATCATTCATCAGAACAGGTCTCCTGCTCCGAGAGCAGAGAGGGTGCTGTTGAATCCTGGAGGGCTTCCTAGAGGAGGTCTTGTTTCTGTTGGGCCTCCTAGGATAATAGGTTCTCCCCAGGTGGGAAAGAGGCAAATTGTAAATATTCAGGAATGGCGTATAGGAGGAAGAAAGGAACGTTTTTATGACTAGGTTGGAGCCCTTTTTGAATGGCAGGCGTTTGGACTTAACTTTGCAATGTTTTCAGGTCTGCCACGGAAAGGAGAAGGCTAGGGCCAGATGCTGTGTTTCAAAAAGATCAGTCTGGTAGCACCAGATAAGTTCTCCAAAGCACCACACTTCTTGTGACAAAACTCTTATGAAAAGTAGACCCTGTGAATGTTTCCAGAAAAAAAATAGTAAATTCATAACGTGTGCTTCTGATGACTGACATGGGGATTTTGACTTCATTTCAGGGTGTGAATAGGAAGTACAGTGTGCTAAACCGGGCTTGCTGGTGTCCCAGTCAAGCACCACCATCACCATTAAAATAGCCTCCCGAGGGGCTAACATTGAGAACATAGACTAGACATGCCCAAAGCTTCGCATACATTATCTCATGGATTCCTACGGAATTAGGGACTATTATTAGCTCCATTTTATAGAAACAGACTTAGGGTAAAGAACTTGGCCAAAGGCCTAGGTCGGTTGTCGTTGTGGTTAGGTGCCATTGAATCAGTCCGACCCAGAGTGACCTGCGCACAACAAAAGGAAGCACCACCCAGTCCTGCGCCCTCCTCACAATTGCTCCTGTGCCTGAGCCCATTGTTACAGCCACTGTGTCGGTCCATCTCCTTGAGGGCCTTCTTCTTTACTGCTGCCCCTCCACTTTACCAAGCCATGTCCTTCTCCCAGGACCATCTCTCCTGACCACGTGCCCAAAGTATGTGAGTCATGAACAGAAGAGCAGACTGAAGCACAGTTCAAAATGTTGCCAAGGATTCTCCATGGGGTATCAGGGATGCTGAAATGGAAGAGATACATTCTCTTTCACACCTAAGCTGCCGAGAGAGAGAAAGAGAGAGAGAGAGAGAGAGAGAGAGAGAGAGAGAGAGAGATCTCCACACATCACATGATAACGTTAGCTATCCTCTTAGATGCTGCAAGGGGAGGGCTGGACATCTATTTTCATCTCATCCTACAAATGCAACCTGCCTATATGCTTTAGGGACTAAACATGGCAAGAGTTACTGTCACCAATAATAATACTGTCTTTCATTATTCACTCCCTAGTTCTTTTTTGTTGTTGTTGTTAAAAAGAGCTGTTTGGGTTATAGTAAGCCAAAATATACTACATTTCAAATATTGTTTCTCTAAT